TTACACACAGTGTCACACACACAGTGTTACACACACAGTGTCACACACACAGTGTTACACACAGTGTCACACACACAGTGTTACACACAGTGTTACACACAGTGTCACACACACAGTGTTACACACAGTGTCACACACACAGTGTCACACACACACAGTGTTACACACAGTGTTACACACACAGTGTCACACACACAGTGTTACACACAGTGTTACACACACAGTGTTACACACACAGTGTCACACGCACAGTGTTACACACACAGTGTCACACACACAGTGTCACACACACAGTGTTACACACACAGTGTCACACACAGTGTCACACACACAGTGTTACACACACACAGTGTCACACACAGTGTTACACAGTGTTGCACACAACAACAACAACCGACATTCGCCACTAAGTGGCGGTGACGTGACCACGGCGATTGTGCCAGGCTATGTGCACATAAAGGCCACGCGAAGTGTTAAACACACACAGTGTTACACACACACACTGTGTTACACACACACAGTGTTACACACACACAGTGTTACACACACACAGTGTTACACACGCACACACAGTGTTACACACACACAGTGTTACACACACAATGTTACATACACACACAATGTTACACACACACACAATGTTACACACACAATGTTACACACACACACAATGTTACACACACACACAATCTACACACACAGACTATGTCACGCACACACAATGTTACACACACACAATGTTACACACACACACAATGTATACACACACAATGTACACACACACACAATGTTACACACACACACAATGTACACACACACACAATGTACACACACACACACAATGTACACACACACACAATGTTACACACACACACAATGTACACACACACACAATGTACACACACACAATGTTACACACACACACATTCACGCCCGGTAAGTTAATTTCCCTCCAAGTGCTCGTTTTGCATTGAAGCCACGCGTAGGCGAGACCACCGTGACATGTATCGTACACATTACCTGTGTCCAGGTGTGCGTGTGTGACACAGAAACAGCTTCTGTTCGGCCGGATAGAGGTGGGTGGTGGGGGTGGACGGGCGTGGTACGGACTACAGAAGAGGTGGGCTGATGTCGGTACGAGACGACGTGGAGCTGAGTGGATTTGCCAAACACCGGTTCCAGTGGTGTCAAGATCGCCCAGTTGTGTTGTAGGGGGGCTCAGTGCCAGGCGCGGTGCACGTCGAGTGGGCTGCTGAGCGGTTGGAGGCAGTCGCCCTCCAACAACAACGTAGGATGGATGAGCGACGCACACAACAAACGAACGGAGCGCCGGGCGGATACAAAGTACGGCAAATAGGCAGAGCAGCGAGCAGAGGGTTGTGCATCTGTCAGTCATCTCACTCGCTTAAGCTAGAACACATATCATTATCGCCGACCTCAAAGCGCCAACTGCACTGCATACTTCACATCACCTTCTCGTGCGGCGTTATATCATCGTCGCCTGGAACTGGTGCCTCCCCTGGGTCTACTTGGCCTTAAACGCGCACCCAGGGTGCGTGACACATCGGCATTGGGGAGACAAAGGCTGGTCCGTAGTCTTTGCTGGCCACTCTACCCCCCCCCCCCTCTTCGTGTGCACTTGACCTGAAAGTCTGTTTAAAAAAAAACGCGGCTATACGGGGGATCTTTGTCTCTGCCTTGTGTATTTGCCACGCCCGTTAATGGTTTTAGTTGAAAGCAAGCGAAGCGCACGTGACAGCTTGAACACAACGTGCGCACACCTCATCATAACAACCTCGTCATAACCTCGTCATAACAACCTCGTCACATCAGCAACCTCGTCACATCAGGCTCGTCACAACAACCTCGTCATAACAACATCGTCACATCAACCTCGTCATAACAACCTCGTCACAACAACCTCGTCATCACAACCTCGTCACATCAACCTCGTCATAACAACCTCGTCATAACAACCTCGTCACATCACAGCTCCTTCACACGATTGACTCATCATCAGCCATGCTCAGTCTACTGTTGCATGCCAGAACTTCCTTCCCAGGTCGTTGCCACCCATCGCAGCCTTGCCTTGTGATTTAAAAGATCTAAAGATTTCCCCCGTGTAGCCTGTGACAGACTGTAGGGGCAAGTGCTGTTAGCGAGCACCTATGAAGGCTACCGGCACGGCACACGAGGGGGTGGGTGGCCAGCACCACGGCCGGCCGCCTTTGTCTCCCCAGTGGCGATGTCTACTCCACCGCGCACCAGGTACTCATTTGAGGCCGAGTCGACCTAGGGGAGGAGGCCCAGGACCGGTTTCAGATACAATCGTCACCGATGTTGACCGTGGCTAGGAATAGAACTCGGCTTGCCGGGTCCGTAGCGTCCACGCAGCGCGATATAACCCCCCCTCCCCCTAAGCTCACCGCTCCACCCCGACACAATCTCTTGGGATCGCTCCATCTCCCCGGCGTGTGCTCTCGCAAGCTTCACGAGGGCGGACGTGCAACACCGTCAGTGTGTGAACTCTTCTGTGCCAGTAGCAGGTGGGCGAATGCCTCTCGCGATCCTGCGATGTACTTCATCACTATGGTACGCGATTTTTTTTTTGTCCCTGGGTAGTAAGTGTTATTTTTTTTCATTGCTCGCGCCTAAAAGAGTAGAGAAAACGGTGCTGTTATTATACACCGCAAACTTTACGTGAAGGGATGACACAAATGCACACCACATTTTCTCATTGACAATAGGTACATTTCAACATATCACTATCCTGGTCACAAAAGCAAAGTTTGTGGGGAATAATAATAGCCACTTTCTGTACTTTTGAGGCATAAGCAATTAGGAAATAACACTTACTACCCAGGAATAAATTTAGTTGTTTTGTGTACACTGAATTATCCACCCAGAAACTGGGCGGGGGACACCGATTCTATCGCTCCATCTCCGCGCGCGGGACGTGCTCGCTCGCTCTCTTATTTTTTTTAACGATCAGAGGAAACAAGAAGATGCTCGGTGTAGTCGGCACTTTGCTTCGCTCATCATTTCGTTTTTTTTTTTCAATGTTTCGCTTTATGTGCCCCCCCCCCCCGCCCGCCCCCCCCCCTTTTTTAAATGAAAGATTTCACAAAAAATTTCACGCTCTCTCTCGCTCTCGCTCGCTCGCTCGGACGCGTCGTGTCGTCACGTTATTATTTTGTTTGTTGCTTTGCCAAAGAAGATCTGCTTGGATGCTACGGATGCTTTGGCAGCGCATTGCACAGCTGCTTCACCCAAGCAGTCGATCGCGTCCGATAAGTTTCGTCCACCGAGCTGGCCTGCCTTCCTGTCCACCCCCCTGATCGATGTCCACCTCGTTAAAGAGCGATTCAGACCTCATTGGTCACCCCCGTGCCCCTTATACACCTCGACGTTCATCCTACAAAGTCCCATCACAAGGGAGAAACACAACACAAATAGACACGAAAAATTGTTGTTGAGTGTAGTGTTGTTGTTAAGTGTGTTGCTGTTGTTGTTGAGTGTGTTGTTGAGTGTGGTGTTGTTGTTGAGTGTGTTGTTGTTAAGTGTGTTGTTGTTGAGTGTGGTGTTGTTGTTGAGTGTGTTGTTGTTGAGTGCGTTGTTGTTGTTGAGTGTGGTGTTGTTAAGTGTGTTGTTGTTGAGTGTGTTGTTGTTGTTGAGTGTGTTGTTGTGTTGTTGTTGAGTGTGTTGTTGTTGAGTGTGTTGTTGTTGAGTGTGTTGTTGTTATTGTTGTTGAGTGTGCTTGTGCGCCACTGCCAATGCAGCAGCAGCAGCATCAGACCATTTGTTTACAACAACGGTGATGGTGAGGATGTTGACAATACGGAACCTGATGATTCTTTTCGTGACGATAATGATGGTGATGATTCTGCTCCTATTGATTACTTTAATGCTGCCGGTGAAGATGATAATACATACGACGATTCTGTTGTTGCTGCTGCTTCTGATGGTGGTGATGATGAATGTGCTGCTACTATAACGATCACGGGGATGTTTCTGCTACTGCTGCTGTCGATACAAATGTTATACGATGCTGTTGATGATGATAATGATTAAGATTGTAATATCTCAGACACACGCGGACACAACAACATCCACAGCGCTCGTGCCAAGCTAGGTGCACCGTGAGGTCACGTGAAGCGTCGAAGGCTCGCTGCTGACGGGGGGTCACGGGACAGACAGACCCATGTGCCTTGGCTTGACTGACTGAGATGACTGGCAGATGCCCCCCCCCCCCCCCCCCAACTATGCAAACTTTCTGCATTTTAGCCGCTCGTTGTTGTGAGCGTCGCTCCTCTACCCTCCGTTATTGGAGGGCGACTGCCTCCAACTGCCCAGTAGCAGCGTCCTTCACGAGCCTCCTCCACAGAGGCCGATCTTCACACCGCTGGTGCCAGTCAGTTAAATCAAATTCATATCCTACCGTACCACATCAACCCATCTCATCCGTAGCCCGTGCCGTGCCCATTTATGCCCCTCTATTCGTCCAAACAGAAGCTGCTTTGGTATGCGGTGGCTGGGCATGCGGGCTACGTGGCCCAGCCAACGCAACCTCGCCTGCCGAAGGAGCTCACCGATGATGGGACTGTGTCCAGATCAAATGGAACACACACGCGCACACAGAGAGCCAAGACCCCCCGTATAGCCTGTAACAGACTGTTGGGGCAAGTGCTGTTAGCGAGTAGCACCTATGAAGGCCTGCACGGCACACGAGGGGGTAGCTGGTCAGGACTACGCCCGGTCGCCTTTGTCTCCCTCGTGGCGATGTTTACACACCTCACCAGGTACTCATTTGAGGCTGAGTCGACCTTCGGGAGGCCCATGACCGGTTCAGATAATCTTCCCCGGTGTCGGTGGCCGTGAGCGGGAATCGAACTCGGATCGCCGGGTTTGTAGCGCAGCGCGTTGACCGTTACACCACCGCTCCTCATACGCGCACAGATGCGTGTGCGCGTGTGCGCGTGCGTGCGTGCGCGCGAGTTCACCTGCGAGAAAGGCGACGGCTCTGTCCGCCGGAGAGAAGCCGGGACTCCGAGGACTCCGCGGGGAGAGTCCCGGACTCAGCGGGGACTCCCCGAACCTGCCGCTCCGACTCCGCGGAGCGCCGGGAGTGCTCGGAGAGAGCTCGCCCGATGAAGAAGAGGAGGAGAAAGGGTCCATAGCCGGGTCCCTGTGGCTCCGCGGGACGAGAAGGAGGAGAGGGGGAGGAAGGAAGGATGGAGAAAAGATTGTGTGCACGGGGACTCGGAGAGACACGCGGCTATTATAGGTGTAGGTGGCGAGAGGGAGGGGATATGGGGAGGGGAAAGAGATGGGTGGGTGGGAGAGAAAGAGAAATGGGTGGGTGTGTGGGAGACACGGGTGGGAGAGAGAGACGAGCGGTAGACAGAGATGGGTGGGGAGGTGATCGGCGAGGGGAGGGAGTGAGGAAGATGAGGAGCGAGAGATGGGTATAGATGATAGTTGTAAGGTAGGAGAGATAGAGGTGGGGGAGTGAGGGTGGCGAGATGGGGAGATGTGGAGTGTGGAGATGATGGCTTACACGAGGGAGGGAGATGGCTGGTGGTGCGAGGGGAGGGAGATTGGCAGTTTGGAGAGGGAAGGGCTGACGTGAGAGTGACAGAGTGCAATAATTATTACTTAATTTATAATAATAACAACGATAGAATAATTCACGTTCCTTTGTCAGGCCCACTGCTGGATGGAGGCTGCCCCACGCCTTGTTCTTCGCGGGCGTTGTTTGACCATACTTCACCACGCTCGTCAGTGCGGGCTGGTGAAGGCGGGGAGCATGTACATGGCAGCATAGGCGTACAATACAACACTGAATTTGTTTTTGTCTGCTTCCCACAACGCAGTTTTATGGACACAGCGGTCGCCCATCCAAGCATCCGTCCAGTCTCAACCCTGCTTAGCTTTGGAGATGCGACGAGAGAGATCGGCCGCCGGTCCGTGTGAGTCCATCAGAGGGAGTTTGGTCTGCGAGTGGGTTCTGTGGAGGGCAAGTCATCGCTTAACGCGTGGCGGTGTTCACACTATGACGCGTTTTCCGCTATAACGCGGTTCCTCCGATAGGGGAACACTTTTATTTTTGGCACAACGCCGAACGCGCCCTTTGATGATGACAATGATAACGGTTGTGGCAACAAGCTAATTATTCTGTAATTATCTCGCCATGTGCGCTGTGTTTAACCCGACGGCGAGATGATGCAAACGAATGCACTCGGTGCGCAAACAGGCGCCGGTTGGATTGTTACATCGCAGGTGGTTTCGTGAGCGGTGACGGCGACTTGGTGGAGGAGGCCTTCATCCAGCGATGGATTACAACGATGATAACGATGCCGATTGATAACGATGAATTCACACCAATGATTGATAGCAATTATTGATAAAACAGTGATTGATGACAATGAATGAACGAATCAATAATAATGATTGACAATTTCACAATGAATGTGATAGCAATGATTCATTAGTTCCATGCGTATTAGTCGACTGGGCGCGCTGTGCCAGCACTAGTTTGGCGTGTGCGTGTGGGATTCTGTGCATGTGCCCGAGCCCCTTTGAATGTGTGGTATTTATGGGCGATTAAAGCAACATTGCTTGGACACTGGGATCCCAGGGCTCAGACAACTCAAACCATCCGTGCACCAGGGCTAGGCTTGCTTTTATATGTTTTTTTTCCCTTTCCCGAGCCACGGTAGTGCGATTGTGGTCCCATGCAACCCAAACTATGGGCCATGTAGTAAAACCCATAGAGACCCATAACAACAACAAAAACAACCGCCATTCGCCACTAAGTGGCGGTGACGTCACCACTGCGCTTGTGCCAGGCTGTGTGCACTTTGAGGCCACGTGAAGTGTCGAACGCCCGCTGGCAGGAGGAGGTCACGGGACAGACCCAGGTGCCATGGGTTGACTGACTGAAATGACTGGCAGATGCACCACCTGTGCCCCCTACTGTGCCTGCTTGCTGAGACCCATAGACATACATAGAGACACATAGAGATACATAGAGACCCATAGACATACACAAAGACACAGAGAGATACATAGATGCATACATCGTGAACACAATTAAAGACCGTCCAAACTAGTGTGATTATTGCCATGCAAGCAAAGGTATGGACCGCAGAGTAAACCAACTGCGGTCTGCGCTCCTTCACCGGAGGATGAACAGCTGACACCACACGAACTCTCCCTCGGCTGAAGCCCTCTCGTTTGTGGCCAGCAGCAGCAGCAACAGACCTCGACATTGGCATCGAGCTCCTTGAACACGATTGCTGCTGCTGCCATCATCATGCGTAGGAACAGAATCGAAGTTCAGTCACAAGTCTCGTCAACAGAGTGAATAAGAAGACGATCCACCTCCCACACATCTCTCTCTCTCCACTCGAATTTCTTTTATTTTTACACATCTCATCAGCCGCAGGGCCTTCTGGGAGTGAATATATATTCTCAGCGGCGCTGATTTCGACTCGAGCAAAAACTCTGTGTTTGGCGCTGTTGCTGCTGCTGCGTTTGGCAGTCGTGCACAATCACGATTAGCAACAATGACTAACAACAAACTCGACACGCTCGTGTCAGTAATGCTGTTGGCCCTGAAATGAAATCCACGGCAACACCACCCCCCCCCCCCATCCGCCCCCGTTTTACGTCGGGGATGCGTTCCTGCAAGGTGCGACGACGCATATCGAAACGACGTGAATAAAAGTAACATTCCCCAACCTCTCTCCCACCCCCCGCCAAAACGAGCGTGCGTGGGTAATATATGGTCCTCTGTAGAACGGCAACGGTGTATTTTATGCCCAACGCAAGATCGTCCGTGCACGTGGTAGTCGTACTGCGGCGGAGGGAGGGAGGGGGGGGCTGAGAGGCGACGCATAACGAGAAGGGGGCTTGGGCGATGCCGTCAGCCGACGTTGGGTGCGGGGTTGCGGCGACGGCCAATCGGGTAGCGGCCTTAATAACGCGGCGACGACGCAGTTGCGAAACGACGTGGAGGTGGGGAGACGTAAATCGGGGTATTATTGTATGTATAGTAGTATTACTGTATAATAGTATTACTGTATAATAGTATTACTGTATAATAGTATTACTGTATAATAAATAGTATTACTGTATAATAAATAGTATTACTGTATGTATAATAGTATTACTGTATAATAAATAGTATTACTGTATAATAGTATTACTGTACGTATAATAATATTCCTGTATAAGAGTATTACTGTATGGATAATACTATTCCTGTATAATATTATTACTGTATGGATAATAGTATTCATGTATAATAGTATTACTGTATGTATAATAGTATTCCTGTATAATAGTATTACTGTATGTATAATAGTATTACTGTATGATAGTATTACTGTATAATATTCCTGTATAAGAGTATTACTGTATGGATAATACTATTCCTGTATAATAGTATTACTGTATGGATAATAGTATTCATGTATAATAGTATTACTGTATGTATAATAGTATCCCTATATAATAGTATTACTGTATGTATAATAGTATTACTGTATAATAATATTCCTGTATCATAGTATTACTGTATGGATAATAGTATTCCTGTATAATAGTGTTACTGTATAAAAGTATTACTGTATGGATAATAGTATTCCTGTATAATAGTATTACTGTATGTATAATAATATTCCTGTATAAGAGTATTACTGTATGGATAATATTATTCCTGCATAATAGTATTACTGTATGGCTAAAAGTATTCATGTATAATAGTATTACTGTATGGCTAAAAGTATACCTGTATAATAGTATTACTGTATGTATAATAGTATTACTGTATAATAGCATTACTGTATGTATAATAGTATTACTGTATAATAGTATTCCTGTATAATAGTATTACTGTATGTCTAATAGCATTCCCGTATACTAGTATTACTGCATGGACACTAGCATTACTCATTACTGTATGTGTAATAGTATCACTGTATGAATAATAGTATCACTGAACCCGTGACGTCCTTCGCAAGATGAGGCCATCGTGTTGCCGTCTGCTTTCGTCCCATTTTCGTGTCAAGGTTGTAAAAAGACACCGCGAGAGACGTACCCGACTGGGCATCTACGTGGCAGGTCACCGCCACATCCAGTGACGAACTTTTGGGAGAAGCTTCCTCAAGATGGCTCTTGAGCCCCAACGAGGCTTTCCCCGGGTAAAGAAGCGTAATAATTACAATTATTATAATAGGGGTTTTCCCCCGTTTTTTCTGGCAAACTGAAACCTCTTTATAAGGAATCATGTCTGCATTAACCGCAATACTTGCGGTCAAAATGCAGACAAAAAACACACTGATAATGATGCATTGTCCTTGAAACTGATTGGTCCACACCAGAGACGGCTTTATTTTGAGCCTCGTCTCAATTATAATTATGATTGAAACAGCATTGTGTCTCTGTTGCGTCTCTGTTTTGGGTGGCGCGGTGGTGAGCGCGCTGCATGCACTACGAACCCGGCGACCCGAGTTCGATATTTGAACCGGTCCCGGGGTCTCCCGTAGTCGACTCAGCCTCACACGAGTACCTGGTGCGGTGTGTAAACCAAACCTGTCAACCCCTTATCAGTGCCATACATTATTACAGACCAATTCAGACCTTATTGGTCACCCTTATAAATCTCAACGTTCATCCTACAAAGTCCCATCACAAGAAAGACGCAAAAACAAATAAATAAATAAAACGTTGTTTTGCCCGTAACGAAACGGCTGTACGCCTTATGGACCTGAAAACTAAATTTCCCTCTACAAGAATACGGGGTAAACCGTATGGGTATGACAGGTATGGTAAACATCGTCACTGGGGAGACAAAAGCGGTCGAGCGTGGTGTTGGCTATCCACTCCCTCGTGTGCCGTTCCGGCCTTCAAAGTGCTAACAGCACTTGCCCCAATAGCCTGGCAAAGGCTATACGGGGGCCCTTTGTCGTTGTATATATCTGTATGTGCCAATGTTTACGTATACATATAACCTATGGTTAGCACGGTTGGCTACGTAGGGTGCGAAAGAAGTGTAAAAAAAACCCTACGTACATGTGTCTGTGTGTGTGCCAATGTGTCTGTGCCAGTGTGTGTGTGAGGGAGCGGTGGGGAGCGGTAGTGTAGCGGTTAGCGCGCTGCGCTGAGAACCCGGCGACCCGGGTTCGATTCCCGCTCACGGCCAACATCAGTGAGAATTATTTGAACCAGGTCCTGGGCCTCCCCTAGGTCGACTCTGCCTCAAATGAGTACCTGGTAGCGGTGCGTAGACATCGCCACTAGGGATACAAAGGCGAACGGGCGTGGTCCTGGCCACCCACCCCCTCGTGTGCCGTTCTGATCTTAAAAGGTGTTCGCTAACAGCACTGGCCCCAAAAGTCTGTTAAGGCTATACGGAGGATCTTTGTTTTTTTGCGTGTGTCAATCTGTGTATGTCGATATGTGTGTGTGTGTCAGTGTATATATCTGTGTGCGCGTGTCGGTGCGGGATGCTAAATACACCACAGTGGTGATAAAAGAGGCGTTACTAATGAAAACAGTCACACTGACGCCCGTATCTATCTCTCTCTCTGACTCACACTCGCACACACGCACTCTATTTCACACAACCCTCTCCTCAACTCTCACACCCACATTCCCTCCCACTCACACATAGACACCGACGTTGCCACAGCGCTTGTGTCAGGCTAGGTGCACCTTGAAGACACGTGCAGTGTCGAAAGATTGCTCGCAGGAGGTCATGGGACAGATGCAGGTGTTGTGGGTTGGCTGAGATGACCGGTAGAGGCACCTCCTGTACTCCCCAATGTTTCAACTTTGCTGCGCTTTAGCCACTCGGCAAACCGCTAGTTGTTGTGAGTGTCGCTCCTCCGTTGTTATTTGGAGGGTGACTACCTGCAACTGCCCAGGAGCATCCTTCACGAGCTTCCTCCAATGAGGCCAAGTCCACTCAATTCCACATCCTCCTGTACCGCGTCAGTCCATCTCTTCTCTATCCCGTGCCGCACCCGTTTATCCCCCTCTATTCGACCAAACAGACGCTGATTTGGCATGCGGTGGCTGGGCATGCGGGCTACATGGCCCAGCCAACGTAGCCTCGCTTTCCAGATCTGAGCTCCTCACACAATCCAACCTGATTAAACTCGGGATGGATCGTAGGCAGGTCAACCTCTGAGGTTTTAAGCCAGCGCAGATGCCTTTCTATGGGGGTCCACATATCCCAAAGGTAGAGAATGCTGGACATAACTGTGACCGAGAAGACCCGGAGATTCTTATGGATTGATAGACCAGGTAGCTGCCACACAGCGTTACGCAGCTGATGAACTAAATGAGACCTACGCTGCCAAACTGGAGCTGGCCATGAACACACTGCTCAGGTATGGAACATCTCCAATATTCCCACAACTGCCCCATCACTCATGGGGAATTGAAGGGGTGGAGTGTTCCATAACACAAAATACCCAGGCAGGTGCTTTGTTTTGGTGGGGCTGATGGTAAGGCACCACCTCATGGTGGCATGCGCCAGGTTCAGCAGCAGAGCCTGCAACTATTTCTCATGTCATGAATATTCATAACGTGGTTGATCAAAAGGTGCTATCCCTAGACTTCACTCAGGAAATTATCAGCCTCCCACTGTATATGCAGCTGATGGAAATTCCTCTGGAACAGCAATGGGAAGCTTCTCGAACAAAGTGGTCACAAAAAATGTTAAACGGTGGAGGGGCCAGAGGACATCCCTGTCACACTTCAAGGTGAACAAGTAAACGGCTTAACACATAGACTTTCGCGATCAATATGATCCATAAAGGTTTTTTAGGTGAGATCGCGTAAATGTGCCGTTAAACCCGCCACCACCTGACAGCCAATTAGTAAGGTTTGACATGTAAACACACCTTACTAATTGGCTGTTGTGGGTGAACTCTCCAACACACCGGTGTGCTGAATTAGTAACCAATTGGCACATTTTGTTAACGTGACGAAACTCACAAATTTAGTTGTGTTGGGTGGTGGCGGGTTTAACAACACGTTTATATTTACGCGATCTAACTCCCCCCAAAAAAACTTAATTTAGGTAAACGACTCTAACCTCAGGGCCTGACCACCATCACGAAGGCCCTTAATAGTCACGAGGGCCTTTCATCACGAGCAGACGGTCAGGGACCCCGATGGTGAGAAGCCTAATCCAAAGCCTTCTTGATGGTACCGTGTACGCATTTGCCAAGTCAACAAGCAAGAGACGTGCGTCCTGTTGAATGCCCCTACATCTCTGCCGTGGGGGGGGGGGGGGGGGGGGGTGAATGTTAACTTGCCAGAGTTAGCATAACCCCGTCCAACACTCTGCTTGTAACATATACACGTGCATGGAAAGGCCCTTTTGTCAATCCGCTGCTGGATGAGGGCTTCGACCAAGTTTGCATTTTCTCCGTGTCCTCCGGTTTTTGCCCTCCACATTTATAATCAACGTGCGCCGAAGAGGATTTGGCTGTTATACAAAAGGTCCACGCGATGAGCCACTTCGTTGAGCTATCATTTGTGGCCAGGTCGCTTCTGAAAAAAAATGAGCTACATAGCTCAGTGGGTCTTAGCTGGTAAAATACAATTAAAATTGTTAAGTTTAGTTAGGGATCGTGAACAGTCTGGGTGCCCTCGGGTTGCCAACACACAAAACGAATGCGTACGACACAGCCGAACAAGGGGTTTGAGAACGGACGTTTACGCTACATATATTTTTTTAATATAGCCGACCACTAAATTGTCAATGTGGCGCGACCCACGACAGCTTATTAATTCTCTTTGCCAACACGAGTCGGCATTCATTATCGCGTACGTGAGAAAACACGCGGGGTTTATTATAGACCTAACGACTCGGGAATGGCCAGCAATAATTTCGCCCCGGCGTTTTTTTTATGCCGGTGATTGACATTCGGAGGCGACAAAGCCCTCGTCCGTCACTTTTGCCACCGCCCTCACGCCCGCACGCCCGCGCCCGGTGGCTTGGACGAGCCCGGCTCACGATGGGAAAGGTCCGAGTTCAAGTCCTGGTTGGGGTTAGGGGTGGGGGGTGACTTGAACCCATGAGCCCTCCAGGAGGCCGGTCAAAGTAACCACTTTGTGGGGAGAAGTCAACAGTGGTTCATCCGTATTTGTTGGCGCCACGGTGTCGAGATGTTAACTACCTCTCCTGGTGTACACGAGTGCGTGGCTTCGATCCCGAAACTGACGCCTGCTGTATATTTTTTAGTCTGCGTGTCTCTCTCACCGTGGTCGCGTGGAATTTTCTCCGGCTCCTCCGGAATTTCCCACCGCATTAAGAATCAACAATATGCGTTCAGAGTATTTGGCTGCTATACATTTCCACGATAAGCCACTTCGTTGAGCTATCATTTGTGGTCAGGTCGCTTCTGAAAAATAACTATATAGCTCAGTGGGCCTTGCATAGTAAAATAATAACTATTTAGAGTCAGGCCATGTGCGGTTGTTTGTCAACAATTGTTGTCAGTGAACCTCCACGACCCAACAAAATTGTTAGGTTTAGAAATATATCAATTTACGTGGCCAGCGTATGGATAAATGTATTATCAATAAGCACCAGCTCACCGGTAGCTTCAACAGGTATTGGATTTTCAAACGGAGTTATTTCAAACCTGGATAGACTTGCCCCATCATTGGAACGCAGCATTTTCACCAGCGGCTCCGCAGGGCTGTTCACGGTAGATGAGCACCGCCTCAATGTTCATTTGAGCAGGAGACCTGCCTTTTTAAACTACATCAGTGCCTTTTTTTTACTCTCTCCACGCCAAATATGTTCACATGTCAGTGCTCCATTCAAGTCAGCAAAGAAGTGGTAATTCCGACAGGTTATATTACTATTACTGTTTTCATTTCACCAGGTCAGGCCCACTGTGCTATATAGCTCCTTTTCAGAAGCGACCTGGCCACAAATGATAGCCCAACAAAGAGGCTCTTTATCATTTGGAAATGTAAAGCAGCTAAATATCTTTATCACCTTTTTTGGAAATGTAAAGCAGCTAAATATTCTAAACGCAATTTTCTATTTGGAGGGGAAAAATCGGAGGATCAGGAGAAAGGTCCACACGACCACGGGGAGAACATGCAAACTCCAAGCATACATGCATCAGGATCGCACCCACGACCTTCTGTATAGCAGGCGAGGTAGTTAACATCTCCTAGCCACCGTGGCGCCCAAGGCAAGTAGGATGGCGAGAGGCTTGACGAGCTTGAGATTGGTTGGTATTTGGGATGGCGGATTGGCAGATTTGCCTGGGGAATGTCACGTGTTGTAGCATGCTTGGGATGTGAGTTGGGCAGAACAGCAATCTGTAACGTGTTGTGCGTCATCTCCCCCCCCCCCCGTACGTGCGGATTTTCTCCGGGCACTCAATTTTCTTCCGAAGAGGAAGGAAAAAAAAACCCCACTCCATAACGAATGGTGCAGGAATCCTGTTGAAACTCAGTCTGAAGACTCATCGAGGGTTTATTGTGGAAAAATGTTTTTTTTTTCCCATCATAAGAGAAGAGATGCAATGACACATTCAGGTCAATAACAGAGCGATTGTGACAGAGCATTGGCAGCGGTGCACAAGCACAGAGAAAAAAAACTAACTCAACACATCCGTCAACATCGCTGCCCCCTGACAGCAATACCGTAAAAACCTTGGAGTGCGAGTAACTTGGTGTGCGAGTGTTTTGCAAGACGAGCAAATTTTTTAAGTAAATATTAATTTGATAAACGAGCGCGGTCTTGCAATACGAGTAGTACGTATACGCTTTGTACTGCCGAGCATCACGTGATCACAACTGATATACGAGTGCTTTGTATTACAAACACGTTTCCGCAACGAATTATGCTCGCAATCCCAAGGTTTTACTGTAATATATAACAGGGGACGTATCAGGAAACGGCCCTCTTCTTCGTAGCTGATCGCCTCTCTGCAGCGTTACCGACGAACGTGCAGAATGTTTGTCATTCGAGCCAGTGCCTCAACATGCACACCTGTGGATTGTAAACGTTAACAAAAATAAGTGCAAAGACTGGTCATTTGAAAACCCATAACTTCCAACTCCTCCTGCAGGTCGCGTTACAAATCACGTGTGTCCAGCCGGTGCATTTCGCCGCAGGGCTTTGCTTGAAATTCGACGTCGCCCGGACGTCCGCTGCGTTCGGGTCGGCCGTTGAAGAGCTGGCGCGTAATAGCGGGCAAGGGGGCCGGAGACCGAAGCAATTACGACCGACGCGGCAAAAACCACGGCGCGAGCCGTGCGGGTTTGTTCAGCGGCGCGCGAGCCAAGGACGGCGGTTTTTTTTTTAATATCGCCAAATAAATCCATCAGACTTTTACACGTTGGAAGGCCCGAACCCGTTTATTACGAGCACACTTTACAGTTTGACGGCACGTCGGCCGTGCGATGTAGGGCAGCGGGGTAGTTAATCAGTAGTATGCGTAACCCGGGGGGGGGGGGGGGTACGTGTGACATCTTTGGGTGGGAGGGGTGGATGACGGGGGGGGGGGGGGGTGGGAGACATACGCAAAACAATTCACGCAACAGCAGTGGTCACGTGTTAACGAAAGCACTAGTATTTATAATGCCATGTGCTTACCTGGTGCGTGAAATTTGGGGAACCCGTGGCCTTGGACACCTCGGCCTTCCACGTGTTATGCTGGTGCTACCTCCCGTTCCGATTATCACCATTTATTTCTGCAACTTATTTTACAAATTGTACAAAAGACATTCTTGAATCCCATCAAAATATTTCCAAAGCGATTCCACACCCCAGCGAACCACGTGACTTCCTCCCGGTCGGCTTCACGGCGCCAGCAAGGGGTTTTATTAGTGTAAATATTAAATTGTAAACATTTACAGTTAACGGTTGTGAAGTGTTAACTCAATGTCGTAGGTGTCAATTCGATGTGAATGTAATTAAAACGTAGTAATATTTTTGTGTTTGTTACTGTAGCATTACTCGCAAAATATGCCGGCAGGAGTAAGCGGGCAGCTGACTGGGCTGGTAGATCAGGGGGAGAAGACAAGGAAAAGGGGGGCTGAGAGCCACCGACGTTATGGTGAGAGTGGGTTCACACCGGATCGGTCTGAGCAGCAATCGCCACACACATCACCACGTGACCCACAGAGTCAAGTTCCACCGCGGCTGTGTGGCGAACAGGATTTATTCGCGTTGACGTCATGCACGCGACGTCCACGCAACTCGGTCTAACATCCAGTGTGGGGGCCACAGGGCCTGCATGAGAGACGGTCTCTTTGAGGTCCTTTCAAATCACAGCCAAACTCCCGCGTGCCGTGGAGATGTGGTGGGCGTGACGGATCCCGTCGCCCGCGGTCAGCAGACTGGACGTGCAAACCAGACGTCGCCGGTTCAACTTTAATCCCGTCCACACAGTGTGAATGGGGTTTAACCACGGTCGGTCGGTCGATTGGCAGGCAGGCCACGCGCGTGGGGTACAAGCGTGGGTTAGTCCACGTCTTCATCTTCCAGCACGTTCCGTCGGCCGTGGGGAGCAGACCAACTTCCCGCTTTAGAGTTCCCCAGAGAGGAAGCCCTTGCGCCAGGAGCAGCATGAGCGAGCGGTTGCAGAGCTGCGCCTTTATCCGCAGCTGCAGCACCGGCGCACGCGGTGCCTACGTTGCCTCGCTGCTCTCCTCCTCGTCACCGCCGCCACCACACTCCTGGCTCTTCCGATGGCTCCTCTCGCGCTTCCGTTTCCTCCTCTTCTTTTTCTTCTTGCGTCGCTTCTTCTCGGCAATCCCGTGGGAATTCTTGCTCCCGCTGCTGCTGCTGCTGCTCTGATCCGAATTGGGATCCGGGTTGCGATTCCGGCTCCGATTCCGGCTGCGACTCCGTTTCGGGCTTTGATTCGGACTCCGATGCCGACTGAGATTACTATTCCGCTCCGTGCTTTCATCCCGGCCCCGACTACGGTCCCGTTTCCTGCTCTGCCGTTCTGGACTCTGATTCCGGCTGCGACTCCGTTTCGGGCTTAGATTCGGACTCCGATGCCGACTGAGATTACTATTCCGCTCCGTGCTTTCATCCCGGTCCCGACTCCGGTCCCGTTTCCTGCTCTGCCGTTCTGGACTCCGATCCCGGCTGTGATTCCGGCTGCGACTGGCAACCGGGATTTGAATCCGACTCCGGTCCTGACGCCAGTTCTTGCTACGCTCCGGACTTCGATTCCTCCGGCCCCCGTCCCGACTGCGATCCCTGCTCCCATGCCTGCTCCGCTCCGGACTTTGATGGCGACTCCTGTTCCGACTTCGCTCCCGACTCTGTTCCCTACTCCGGTTCTGATTGTGATCGCGGCCCCAGCCCCGATTCTGGCTCCGGGTTCTCGTCTCCCGGTCATCCAAGCGCCGAGTTTCTCGCGACCTCGACCTGGGAGACCAAACGCAACAGCACAGGAAGGAGGGCGATGCAAATCATTGCATTCATTGCCATTAGTTTCAAACCATTCAGCACAGGAATGGTGACCCACAACAAGCACCTAAACCACAATAAAGCGAGTAGAACCATGATGAAATGATGAGGATAAGCGTCAAGTGTTACAACATTCGTGCTCTCATTAAATTTGCAACGCGCACAAATTTTACGTTAAAAGGACATTGAGCGGCGTGGAAGAATACGCGAAAGAAAGCGTCTTCAGATTCTGACACAAGTGACGACAGATGCCATTGTAAAGTCCACACGACTGGAGCTGTGACAGGGAACCGACGTTTGCCTTGTCCGGTTCCAGAGTCAGGCTTAACAATGAGGAGGCCGTTTGATGCCGATCCGTATGGATCCGACAAACGGATGCAGACAAAGAAAATGGAACACAAGCCAAAGAGTTGTGCAAGGAGAATTTCACGCAAATAAATCAAACCGAGACATGACGAGGAACAAGTAGAACCACGGAATGAACGCAGACAAGGCATAAATCACGTTTTACTGTTCACACAGGTAAGTGGGCTTGCACATGACAAGTCATGGCTAGAAGGGACGATGGGCCGAGGTGGACACTAACGATGGACTGGCAGCCAGAGGTGGAAACATGGCCGGGAGAGCGTCCACCACAAAGACGGAGCGATGAAATCAACTTGTGCAAAGTTTATTGATAGGGTTTTTCATCCTTTTTTTCTGGCAACAAAACTGATACCTTTTACAAGGAATCATGTTTACATTAATAACAATACTCTGATAATTTATGCATTGTCCTTGAAACTGATTGGTCCACACCAGAGACAGCTTTTCTTAGAGCCTAGTTTCACATGGTGTTCGACCAGATGACGCCAAAAGGCGCACAACTCAAAGACAATGCACTATCAGAGTAATGAGAGCTCGGGGTAAGCATCTATATCATGAGGCTTCCTTTGAAAGCACCAAAATATAGTAATAGGGTTTTTGTGCAAAGTTGCCGATTGAACTGTTGCATCGCGAGACCCCGAGCGACAGAGACGTCTTGAAGAGGCCTTCATCCAGCAGTGGATAAATGACGTCTCATGATGATGGTGATTTTACGGCCAAGGGGATGGATTTATTTTCAGGGAAATTAGGACGAGAACTCTATTCCACAAATTCGTTGATCCACCAACTGTGCCTCCCACATCAATGTGGATAAGACGCGTTGCCCCGAACTCCATTCAGCAGCTGCAGCAAAAACTCAGCGCTGGTGCAATGGTCGCTCCCCAGTGTCCTCTCGCCCCACCATTCTCTTGTCCAAGTAATCCCTTGCCCCACCATCTCCACGCCCCACCATCAGCTAACTCCCCATTACCCCCTCGCCCCACCACTCTCTCACTCCACCACTCTCTCAGCTCAGCAATCCCTTGCCCCGCTACCCTCTCGCCCCACCATCTCCTTGCCCCACCGTCCTCTCGCACACTCGATGCCTCGTACCGGCTGCGTCGGTCGGCCGTACGATTGTCGGGCGCGTCCTCGTTGGAGGGCGGTGCAGCCGCTGCCTCCCCGCCACTCCCCTCCACCTCGCCCCCCTCCGCGGCATCCTCGCGCCACTGCCGCGCCAGCTCGCCCGTGTGCACGGTGATCACCTCCCGGAGGATCTGGGCGAGCGCCGCGGTGGCGATCCCGAGGGCGACGAGAGGGTTCGCGATGAGACACAACGACCGGGCCGTTAACAAGGCGCTCGCGTCATGGAGTGAGGTGCAGCGGTCGTTGTAAAGGGTAGGGAGCATCTTCCATACTGAGGGCCGAGTTAGACTTTCAAACACCCTCAGCACGGGAACCCACGCATTGGCGAGATGTTAACTACCTAGCCTGGTGTACAGGGGGTCGTGAGTTTGATCTCAAACCTGACGCCGTAAAATCCAGGTCCCCCGGCTTTTCCCTCCACATTTAGAATCAACACACATTCAGAGTATAAATTGACACCTGATAAGCTACTCCGCTGAGCTATCGTTTGTAGCCAGGGCGCTTTTAAAAAAGAGCTACATAGCTCAGTGGGCCTCACCTGCTAAAATAAAACATTTTGCTTTAGTTGTAACACACACAACGGTCTTACGCGGTTACAACGTAATGGGCGGGTACAGAGGCCCTTGGAGTGACAGAGATGACTGTTGTCACGCCCAACATATAACCCTCTAGTATCCGATTAATGCGGCTAAGATGCTTAAGCGAGCGCACGAGCGTGTTGGTAAATGAAACCCAAAACTCCCAACTCCGAGTGAGCGAGCAAACAAGCGAGCTAGCGAGTGAGGGAACGAGCAAGTGTGTGAGCGAGCGAATCAGAGTGTAAACGAATGTGTGATTGAGCATGTGAGTTAGCGAGCGAGTGTGCGTGTATCGAGTGAGCGGGACACCTCGGTGTGGGAGCGCCGGGTGATGTGCACGTTCTTGGCGCGGTAGCTCTGGCGCCGGCGCTTGTAGTCACGCATCTCGGCCAGCACCTCGAGGTGCGACTTGGGGCCGCTCTGCTTCGCCTGGGCTGCACGAGGGACGCGTCAACAGACGGAGACGGACGGACAAAAGACGGATGGGACAGACAAACGGATCGTTAGGCAGGGAAAGAGGAGAAGCAAAGGCTTTCAGGAAAAATTCAAAATCCAAAAGAGCTTTTATCTCTTCAATGCGTCTTCAGGTTATAGTGAGTGTAGTTCAACATGATATCTCTACAAGACTCTGTGCAAGTCTATGGGTCTCAATGCAAGTCTACGGGCCATAGTCATCGTCTATGGGGCTCTATGCAATTCATTGGTGATGGGCTGAGACCATCAACTCATTACGATTGTGAACCCGGGTTTAATCTCAGTCTGGCGGCTGCTGAAATCCGGGAATCGAACTCGGGAGGTTTACAGCAGTGACAACTCGGCATCTCCGACCTCTCTCTGATCCACCCCGTGCCTCACCCTTCTTGAGCTTGGCCGCCCAGTCGATATAGAGCTCGTCCGTGATTGGCTGGCTCACGGCCGCCCCCATCCTGGCCGCCTCTGCCACCATGAAGTCGTAGACGGCGACGCGATCGGCTCGCGTGAGCTCGCACGCCGCACGGTCGTACGTCAGGGGCACCGCACCTGGTGCAACCGAGTACTCGCCTGCACGTACACAGCACGTGCGTACACATAAACACACACAGACACACGCGCACACACAGACACACGCGCACACACAGACACACGCGCACACACACGTACGAATAGACACGCAGACACGCGTACGAATAGACAGGCACACGCGCACTCAAATAGACATGCACACATACCATACACACACACACATAGGCACACAGACGCTCACACATACATACATACAGACATGCACACACACGGATACCGAGATTATTGTGCCGGCGAGTGTCGAGGTATATCCATTTTCTTCACAAAACCCCATGATTTCCATTTGGCCCATTTACAGCTTGCAGTGATGTTATTTATACCACTAATGCAACCACAAATCAAGACGCCAATTCTATAACACACAATCCAATGCTACAGTAGGTACTGCGCAGGACGGTTCTGAACCGGGACTGCACCGACGCTTCCGCAGACGTGGAAACGCAGCCAACGACGAGTCAGGCATTGCTTTTCCGAAATGTGTTCATTTGTTTAACTTTTCCTTTAAAACTGCAGGATATAGCAGAATTAAGTGAACAACGGTGTAGGTGCAGTGACGTCAATAAACATTGGCCACGATGGCTTCTTGATATTGATCTATTACAACGACGTTTCTGCAGTGTTCATAACGATGGTGAAGTTGAGGTCATTTCTCAGCGCGATTGCATATACCGCCTGTACACCCTTCCAACGCGGAAGTAGTCCCTGAAGTTCTCGATTAAAGTGATTATTGGTTTGTTATTTTAGTCCAGCTATAACAGGATTTGAGGTTCTTGCTTGTAACCGAACGGGTTAAAAGACTTGATTGGCTTCTGTAAAAGAATATCGACAATGGGATTCATATATTATTATGTTTTAAATAAAAATCAACAGCCACTTGTGACCCTCCTGAAAAGTAGTCAGGAGAGGGCAACCGAGTGGCACATTTAGTCAAACGTGTGCACAACACCTGCTCACGAGCACAACCACCCACGCTCATGCATCACAGGGAGAAGGAGCCCCCCCCCCATGCCGCCCCTGCCCCCCCCCCCCGATTGATGGGCACTCTGGGAAAAATTCAGTTACCGCTCGCCACTGATGTTACACCCATGGCTGAGAATTGAACCATGGTTTCCTAGTCTGAACATTAAGTACTGTGCCACCATTCACTCGTGCACAATGACAAAGATCCCCTGTTTAGCCTTAATAGACTGTTGGGGCAAGTGCTGATAAGCGAGCACTTATGAAGGTCGGCACGGCACAGGAGGGGGTGGGGTGACCAGTACCATGACCCACGGCCTTTTGTCTCCACAGTGGCGACGTTTACGCATCATACCAGGTACTCATTTGAGGATGTGTCGGCCTAAGGGAGGCTCAAGACCGGTTCAGATAACCATCACTGGTGTTAGCCGTGAACAGAAATCGAACCCAGGTCATTATTTCTACAACCACCCCAGCTCTTGTCACCCGATTACCCTGCTTGTGTGTTCTCGGCTATTGACTCACGCCTGCAGGTTAACAACTGGTCACCTCTACCACTGGCAGCGAGTGGATACGTCTGGATGAAAGTTGTGTAAAGCACAATCTGCAACTCAACTCTTATCCACTGCATCTCTATGGACTCACTGTTAATATGAAATTAATAAGAGTAATTACCCAAAACGTCACCTGTTACATTTTGTTCCTTTGAGCGGCCAGTGCCATTGACGAGCATGTTCGGTTTTTGGTTATTTTTGCATTAGCGCCTCTGGCCAGTGCAGTATCACCAAATAATTTGAATGGGCTGCTCAGAGATCTTGATACTTCAAGTCTCATTTTAAGTCTGACTTCTCATCCTTCTTTCATCAGCATCCACCCTATCATCAATGTTTGCTCGTCTCTCATCTGATGGGTATACCCGCTTGCTGTCTTGCCCAACCTCTCTTCGCCCTTACGCTTCCCAAAAGTATAACATGACCGAGCCTTTTTCATCTCCTCCAATGAAAAAGACAAAGATCACCCCCGTATAGTCTTAACAGACCGTTGGGAGAAAGTGCCGTTCGCGAGGACCTATGAAGGCCGGCACACGCACTGCACACACACACACACGCGTGTATACGTGCACGAGACTTGGCGACAGTGGGTGGCGCTGGTGAAAGGATACCAGACGGAAGGATACTGCCAGGGCAGACTATACAACACCCTGGCAGAGCGAGCAAGCGCTAAAACGACCAATGCTTCGCTCCGTCTTTCACATACTCACCCCTGTGACTGGGGGAGGGGAGGGGGGGGGAAGGAGAGTGGGAGAAAGTAGGGGGAGGAAAAAATCAAAACAAAAAGGATTTAACCAGCAATGTGATGAATTGTCCCAATTCAAAGGTTGTGAAACGGCTGAAAACAACTACTCTTCAAGTCTGGTTTTCACCCATCTTGTAAACATTCTCCCCGCCTGGTTTGTATAGTTTTGTTGAATCCATTTGCCTGAATGTAAATGACCATTTGCACATACTTTTCATAAAACGCAAATAATCGACTCTCGTGCATTATACATTGTATTAAAATCAATAAACCAGTACAATTGCTACAAGCCTGGTACCAACGCTGTTCGGTGAACGAGAAAAACGAATGCCACCATAGCGCCCTCTAGTGACGTCCAGTGTCACCACTGGCGTATTAAGTTTGAGTACGACTGCAGTGGGAAGCCGGCACACCGGCTCCGTTGCCACGCGCGGTAGCATCGTGGGAGCGGACATCAGGAAACAGCAAAAAGGGAACCTCGCTGTGCGTTGCAGATCAAAATGACGCCACCATTCTCGCACACATTCTGCACACTGCCTGGTGATCGGCACCGACAACTGCATACAGGTTGCAGGTTTCATCCTTGTTAAGGCTCATCAGTACAATAGCCATCTACCAGTTTAAGACGTGGGCTTTTGCGACCAATATCAACCATAAGAGGTTTTTGTTGGGTTAGATCGCGTAAATATATAAATGTGTCGTTAAACCCGCCTCCACCCAACACAGCCAACTAGTAAGGGTTGTCACGTGAACAGAACGTGGCCAATTCGTCACTAGTACAGCACACCGGTTGTGTGTTGGAGAGCCAAGCCACAACATTTACAATCTGGGTACGACGAGTCACCAGTAATTACAACCAGCTTCATCAGGCGACAGCCATCTACCATTTGTGCCTGGTGGTGATGCCTTTTTTTGCATTTAAGTTATAATTATTTTTTTACGCAGTGTGCGTAGTTGCCGTGCTTAAAATCATTATCTGCTTCTGTATTTAAATGCTTTATTTAGACTGGAGGAATCAAGTGAGCTAGGAAGCTCTTTTTCACAGATGTCCAGTTTCAAAACTGGACATCTGTGAATGCAAAATTTGTATTGTGCCCTGGATGGCAAATTAATATGGGAATCATCGGTAGGGAGGGGGGCAAGGGGGGACCCCGATGTGGCACTCGAAGACCTGGGTGTGAGGATGGCATGCGTGGATCGTTCTGAACATCTCATTTCAAATGAGTTTTGCATGCGGAAGGAGCCCAGAGAACTCGGGAGAGAACCCAAAACGCAAACACTGGAGATATAATTTAGAGATTCTCGCGGACGGGTTAAAGAACCCATTTCCTGTACTACCATCTCCGGGCCACCTGGCATCTTAGTGAGTTTGAGAGTTTCTCAAATCTCTACCCGATTCAGAAACCCCTGTGCCTTCAAAGTAATCCACTACTGACCCAAACATGCTCTTGAAAATGACATTTAAAAAAACCTGTGGTAATGTTTTCAAGCACAATTAAGCACAGACACAATATAATTGCAAATTATAATGCTACTGTAATTATAATTGACCGCAGATCTGCATGGAAGCCCAGCAGGTTTGGCAGTTGTACAGTTCTCCATGTGATCCACCAAACCCTTTCCTCCAAAGTGCTAGATCACAGGCATGCCAACACACCCGGTTGTTCTGTGCTACGTTTTGAATGGGCTGGCAAGCGAATCACTCAGGCTCGCACACACCAAGTGTTGGTGGCATCTGCACGGCGCTTGTGCCAGGCTAGGTGGGCTTTTTAGACCATCGCATTAAGTGCCGAAGGCTCGCTGGACCCCGGTGTTGTGGTCTAACTGAGATGAATGGCAGATGCACCACACATGCTCCCCACTGTGCCAGTGCATGCACGCACACACGTGACACACAAGGCCCACAGTGAGTGAATGAAGATTCCCTCCCTCTCACCTGGTGCAAAGAGCCCCATGCCCTGTGAGCTCCTCACCCTCGCCTCACGGATGATTTGTGCTTGCTGCTCTTTGTCTGCAACACACAAAGATCCGAATGAAGTGGGCACATTGAAATCTTGATGGTTTAGTGTCGAGTCGTGATGTGCGACTGTTACCAATCTTGATCGACGGGACATTGGCCTTCTCGTAGAAAAAAGTTGTGTCGATCATCTTCTCCTGAAAAAAACACAAAATGGAAAATTAAAATGTTAAAATTCTTCATCCACCCGTGTTATGGACTCGGTCAACTAGACGAGACTGTTTTGTCTTATTCACACTGTGTTCTATCACCAGACAAGACGAGACAATGATCCCCTATGTAGCCTAAACAGACTTTTGGGCCAAGTGCTGTTAGTGTGCACCTATATGAAGGTCAGCACAGCACACGAGGGGGTGGGGTGGCCAGCACCAGGCCTGGCCGCCTTTGTCTCCCCAACAGCGATGTTTACACATCGCACCCGGAATTATATCGCTTTCATGGGAAGGCAATAACAACATGACGAGGGTTTTTCTCAATTAGAACACCGTCTTGTCAGAGGTCACTCACAACAGCCCCACCTCGTGGCAATGTCACGAGCCGCCCCTGACGGCTCCACTACCGCTCCTCAACCACCATACACCACAGGTGACAAAGACCACACTCGGGCACTCGCCTGGTCGTCCTTGGAGTAGCCCTGCGCGCTGAGTCGACATGTCTCGACGTGCCGCTCCAGCGAGGCGGCCGGCATGCGGTGCCCCGAGTTTATGGGACACACGACCTGCAGTCGCGCACACGCAAACACATACACAATCCTAGATTTTAAGCTTTCGTGACTGCAAGGATCCATACTCTTTTGTTCTATTCGGTAAAGTCATAGAACCAAAGAGTACATACACAATCCCATCTTTAGCCACGTGGATCACATTCACCAAGTAAGACGTACCCCAAACTTGTGCCCGGTATCAATTACGTGAAGAAAAATCTGCGTCTCACACTCACACACACACAAACCCCACCTACCAAATGATGAAATGCAGCCACAACTGTTTGCTTTACTATACAGGGAGGAGAAACGTGGGTCTCATGATCCGGAGACGATAGTAATGCATGGATGTTGAACCTCTTTCCCACCATACGTAGCAAACCGTGCCGATCGTAGGTGGGGAGGGTGGGAAGGCCAACAAACTAAACACAAAAAGAAGTACTGTAGCTATCGTTCGCCTGATAATGAGCATTGCCCAATCACACATAACAAGTGAACCTGAATGCGCCCGTCTTGACAGACCAAGGTGGTGGCTATGATACTGTGTGAGTGGTCCTAGGATGACGGTCGTATTGATTGCGAAGCAAAGGCGGAAGACTTCGATGAAGCCAGACCTTCGTGGTGGTAATTATATTGAGACTAAAGAGCAGAACGTGGAAATCGAGCGTCGCGCTTTGGACGAGCTGGGAAAGTTCTCACGGAAGTGACGGCTCCTAGGAGCAGTGGGGGGTGGGGGAAATGTTTTTTTTTATTGTGACTTCGCTGTCACACCGAGACGGCTACTGTATCGCGTCGTTTGCAAGATTGTAATAGCTTGCAATGCCAGCGCTCGACTTTTATTCTCCATCGATCGATGGCAGGAGTCGGAAAACTGCGGCTCTTTTAAGGGCTGCTTCTTGACGTTATTCACCGCGTGCATTGCCGGCTCTTGAAAGCCTGAGGGGTTTTTTATTTACCTAATTCAAAACAAATGCCCCTTTTCATTATACTGCTTGCCGACCCCTGGGTCTATACCAACGCGCGTTGACCGGCGCGGTGAAGTATGGCCAAATAATCCCCACGGAACTGCGCAGCGCCCTTCATCGAGCCGTGGATCGATAATACAATCGATAAAATCCCGATTACGACTATCGGTAAGCAGGAATTAGGCAACTAAAATAGTTTTTTAATCAGCCACTTAATAAAATAAATCCAATTACCCTTTATAAAAAATTACCGTAGGCCATTGCAAGCGCTTTCCAACATAAATTCATTATCGTAGTCCACATAAGCAAGTCGCTCAACGTCGCCCAATAGATATGCTCGTTTTAGAGACACTCCAGAAGAAAGAGCCAATCAGAGGGGAGCGTAGCAGCGTGCGTCGCCAATACGGACTACCAATTCGAAACAGCGGCGCAACGATCCTTAGGTTTCTCCAGCGCGGCTAGGTCTGGGCCACAAGTGAATGTAAAAGGAACGGGGCAGGTACCAGGCTCTCCTCGCTCGCCGCTCGCTCCAGGACCTCCATGCTCCACCCCAGGGAGGAGGCGACCTCCTCCAGGCGCCGTCGGCATTGCTGCGCGAAGTCCTCGAGTTCCCGCGCGCGCCGCTCCCGTTCCTCCGCCTCGGCGTCCGCCATTGATGCCGACAGCGAGTCGGGGGGGGGGGCTGTGACGTAGGAGATTTGCTGTGATCTTCTTCTTCCGGAAGAGACACTCGACCCGGAAGTCAAGTTGCGCGCGGATCACGTGGGCCCAGTGTTACAGACGTCTTCGGCAGTCAGCTGATGATGTTATTGATCTCAGTGTTAATTTAATCGCCGTGATTTGTAATTCAGTTATGAGATAAAAGACACTCCGGGCTGATGCGAGTGCAGGCGCTTAAAAGCGGTGACGATAATGGTAATGATGGAATTCACGGTGATTGTTGACTACGGATGGTGGTGAATTGATCGTGCTGATTTTATGATGAATGTGCGACTGTAATAGTGGATGTGGGTGCAAATGATAATGCAGTGTGATGATGATGATGCTGGTGGTCGTGTGATTGTAAAGACGACGGTGTGGCAGATGAGATGGTAATGCTATGATGGTGGTGATGAATCTGATGGTGGTGATGAATCTGATGATGCTGCGACTGTGATGATTTTGGTGGTAATGGATTGAAAATGCTTATGCATTGGTACTGCTGCCTTGATGGCGATGTGCTTGCGATGCAAAGATCATCATAGATGTATGCTGCTGACGTGATTATTGTGATGTTGCAATTACCCAGAATGCGCACGATCACGTCAGGTCTCGGAAGCCACGCAAGTTTCAGTAAGCCTGCATATTGCTTGGATCAAAATAACCTGGTGCCTCGAGTTTCCTGGCTGGCTGCTGGCTGGGCTCCTCCTCTCCACCCCGACGATAACTTTGCTGTTAGTGGCTGCTGATCACCGAAACTGTCTGGGTAACTGGCTAAACGGGATGTTCCCGTCTTAATGCATAAACGGCGGAAGAAGTTCGGAAAGACACACAGTCGTGACCGTGAAGAGGTGGGAGTAACAGACGGAAGACTGACACGGTTCATTTTAGAATTGCTCCGACTTTACAATTATTACTCCAATGTAATGTTTTCGCCGAAATCCTCGAGAATAGTATGATGTTAAAAAAAAAAATAACCGGATTACTTTTGTGCTTCGAGCACATAATTGTCGTCACCGCTCAAAAGGGTGAGGATGATGAACGGAGAAGAGAAACAGAGGAAAGGAAGGAGCGAGCAGGAGTAAGCTACGTGGAGGAACAGCGTCTGTTTTCACAGGGGGCGGGGAGAGGGGGAGGGGATTCAGAGTGGGAGTGGCCACTTAGAAGTCACGTGATTTACCGGAAGCTTGCAATGATTTTGATTGTTGACTACGGACGGTGTGATAGCTCGATGGTGGTGAATTGATGGTGCTGATTCTATGATGAATGTGCGATTGTAATAGTAGATGTAGGTGCTTCTCGTCTAGTTTCAAATGTTTTCACCCGGATAATCCGCTTGCAACGGTGGCCAGTGTAAATGTCGTGGCAGTGAAGCAAATTCGAATGTTACACTGTACTGCTGTGTCCCCCCGCTTTGGCCAACTCGCAATGGCCACCGTGGAGACGTATGATCAAAGACCGGCACGACGTTTTGAGGCCATCATCATCATCATCCACCAGGAGTGTACGAACTCAGAAGGGCCGTCCGTCTATGTACATTGCAAAATGATACGGAAACTATTTACCCGTGGGACACATCACAGGAACGGGGGTAAGAGTCGAGCATTTAATGCGTGGGAAACAAAATATAAAGGAACGGGGAGAGGGAAGGTATGCCGGGACAGATGTCCCAAACATGGGCAAAGAGGAGGGCACGGCTCAAGATGAGCAGCAGGAAGAGAGGAGGAGCACCCGTGCAGGAAGGAATGGGGGGAGAAGGGGGAGATGAAATTGCCGGACCAAGATGGTTGGGAATGAGAGGGTGAGGATGATGATGGGAGAAGGGGAAGAGAGGAAAGGAAGGAGCGAGCAGGAGTGAGCTACGTGGAGGAGCAACGTCTGTTTTCACAGGGGGCGGGGAGAGGGCGGGGATGGGGGATTCGGAGTGGGGGTGGCCACTTAGCAGTCACGTGATTTACCGGAAGCCTGAAATGATTTTGATACATAGATGTGCGTTGATGTTGGTTCTGGGTGACCATGTTGATGGGTTTTGTCCATTCCGATTTTGTCCCCACGGTTTACCCGATTTCAACTTCTCTTTCCACGGACACGAAGACGATGGCCACGCGAACTGGGATGGAAAAAATCGTGAAGGGTGAGCTCGTGTTGTGTTTCAGTAATAATGTTGACTGGTCTAAGGTGCAGTTGTTGATGGTGGTGATGTTGATTGGCATGGGAAATATTGGTGATAACGAAGATGGTAGTGGCATGATGATAATCATAATACCGGTTTTGATAACATAAATTGATGGAAGTGTTTTCAAGGAAATAATGGATAATTATGATGAAGTTGATGCTTATGATGGTGGTGGTGGTGCTGATAATTATTGTACTGCTGGTGATGCTAATGATGATAATTGTGCGGACGATGCCATTTGTGCTTTTGCTGATCATCGTGATGCTGCTGATAATAATAGTTTTGATGATGATCATGTTACAGATGCTGGAGAGATCAGCACCCGCCTCTTGGACCACAAAGCGTTCACGCATGGTCAGGCTCGCTTCATGCTTCGCGAGTTCGAGGTGAGCATCGTGATCATCATTACAATGTTGAGGATGTACAGACGATGACCGGTACCAGCGTTATCAAGATCTGCCTCTGTGGAGCTTCATGAAGGATGCTACTAGACAGTGCCAAGCCACTTTGGAGCTACTGTGCAGTTGGAGGCAGTCCCCCTGAAACAGCAATTACAAGCGGAGCGCCGGGCGGATAAAACGCAGAAAGTTGGCACAGTGGTGGGAGCACAGGTGGTGCATCGACCAGTCATCTCAGTCGACCCATGGCACCTGGGTCTGCCCCGTGACCTCCTGCCGGCGGGCGTTCAACGCTTCACGTGGCCTTAACGCGCACATAGCCTGGCACAAGCACCGTGGTGACATCACCGCCACTTAGTGGCACATGGCGGTTGTTGTACTGTATATAAGGCGGTCAGGTGTGGTTCTGGCCACCCACCCCCTCGTGTACCGTGCCAGCCTTCATAAGTGCTCGCTAACAGCACTTGCTCCGACAGTCTGTTCAGGCTGTACGCGGGACGTTTGTCACTGGTTCGCGCCCTGCACTGCAAACCCGTCTATCCCGAGTTTGAGTTCCATATTTCTGAACTACTCAAACCAGTCCCTGAAGCTCCCCTGGGTCGGTTTAACCTGCAAGCGAGTACCTGGCGTGCGAGAGCAGGAGCGGCGCGGGTACCGCGAGATGCGCCGCCTGCAGGAGGCCGAGGAAACGATGACACGCATGGCCGACTCGCTGCTGCCCGACACCCTGGCCCTCACCCAGGAGCTCCCCACCATGCTCGCTCGCCGTGAGTTCCGCGCAGAGACCACCACGATTGCATACGGACATGGGGCACACGCGCACAGACGCAGGCACACGTAACCAACGAAAACGTTCCCCCGGACAGCATTAACGGACCGTTGGGGCAAGTGCTGACGGGCACGGGGAAGCCCCGTATGACAATTCGGATGATCTTCCGTAGGCTAAGTCCCCGACAGCAAAACGTCCTGATAGTCAAGCTACATTCGCATTTGATCGTCCTCGGGTCGCAGAGTTGATAGCGCTGTGCGATGAACACCCACTGAACCACCGTCCAGCAAAGACGAAGATCCACCGTATAGCATTAACAAACTTTTGGGGCAAGAGCTGTTAGCGAGTTGCACCTGTGAAGGCACGGCACATGAGGGGGTGGGTGGCCAGCACCACGCCCAGCTGCCTTCATCTCCCCAATGCTGATGTATACACACCGCACCAGGTACTCATTTGAGGCAGAGTCGACCTGGAGGGGAGGCCCAGGACCGGTTCAGATAATTGTCACTGGTATTGTCCGTGAGCGGGAATCGAATCGGGTTGGGAGAACATCGCGCTCACCGCTGTGCCACTGCTCCCCACACCACCGCCCCCCACCCCCCCCACTGCCCCCGCAGGCACATCTAATTGAACATTAAACCCGGCCACCCAAGTTCTATTCCCAGCCATAGCTAATGTCAGTCCCTCGTGATACCTGAACTTATTCTGGAACCTGCACCCCCACCGCCCCCACCACCCCCGTTCTCTCCCTGCCGCCCAATTCACCAACCTGCACGGACCTGCGTGATGGATGAACTATGGTGAAGCAACCTTCATGTCCAAAACGGCGTCGGTGGACTTCGCTCAGCAGTAGTTTGACAAAGAGGCTGTAGATGATGATGATGGAGCGTCGTCACGAGATGTGATGCGCATCGATCGTCTCTGCTATGATGAGCCCCATCATGACTTGTCTTATGTCTGTTCCACAGTGGAGGCTGCAAACCGCATGTGCAACCGCATCCTGCAGCACCAGGACGAGCCTCGTGAGGTGAGGAGGAATGCCCAGCCCAAATAATCAGCAGCATCGCTCCAGCCCACACAATCATCAGCATCGCTCCAGCCCACACAATCATCAGCATCGCTCTAGCCCACACAATCATCACCATCGCTCCAGCCCAAACAATCATCACCATCGCTCCAGCCCACACAATCATCACCATCACTCCAGCCCAAACAATCATCAGCATCGCTCCAGCTCACACAATCATCACCATCGCTCCAGCCCAAACAATCATCAGCATCGCTCCAGCCCACACAATCATCACCATCACTCCAGCCCAAACAATAATCAGCATCGCTCCAGCCCACACAATCATAAACATCACTCCAGCCCACACAATTATCAGCATCACTCCAGCCCACACAATCATCAGCATCGCTCCAGCCCACACAATTATCAGCATCACTCCAGCCCACACAATCATCAGCATCGCTCCAGCCCAAACAATCATCACCATCACTCCAGCCCACACAATCATCAGCAGCATCACTCCAGCCCACACAATCATCAGCAGCATCACTCCAGCCCACACAATCATCAGCATCACTCCAGCCCACACAATCATCAGCATCACTCCAAGCCCACACAATCATCAGCATCACTCCAGCCCAAACAATCATCACCATCGCTTCAGCCCACACAATCATCAGCATCGCTCTAGCCCACACAATCATCACCATCCCTCCAGTCCACACAGTCATCACCATCGCTCCAGCCCACACAATCATCAGCATCGCTCCAGCCCAAACAATCATTACTATCGCTCCAGCCCACACAATCATCACCATCACTCCAGCCCAAACAATCATCACCATCGCTCCAGCCCACACAATTATCAGCATCGCTCCAGCCCACACAATCATCAGCATCGCTCCAGCCCACACAATCATCACCATCACTCCAGCCCAAACAATCATCAGCATCGCTCCAGCCCACACAATCATAAACATCACTCCAGCCCAAACAATCATCACCATCGCTCCAGCCCAAACAATCATCACCATCGCTCCAGCCCACACAATCATCAGCATCGCTCTAGCCCACACAATCATCACCATCGCTCCAGCCCAAACAATCATCACCATCGCTCCAGCCCACACAATCATCGGCATCGCTCCAGCCCACACAATCATCACCATCACTCCAGCCCACACAATCATCACCATCACTCCAGCCCAAACAATCATCAGCATCGCTCCAGCCCACACAATCATCACCATCGCTCCAGCCCACACAATCATCACCGTCGCTCCAGCCCACACAATCATCACCATCACTCCAGCCCAAACAATCATCAGCATCGCTCCAGCTCACACAATCATCACCATCGCTCCTGCCCAAACAATCATCAGCATCGCTCCAGCCCACACAATCATCACCATCACTCCAGCCCAAACAATCATCAGCATCGCTCCAGCCCACACAATCATAAACATCACTCCAGCCCACACAATTATCAGCATCACTCCAGCCCACACAATCATCAGCATCGCTCCAGCCCACACAATTATCAGCATCACTCCAGCCCACACAATCATCAGCATCGCTCCAGCCCACACAATCATCAGCATCACTCCAGCCCACACAATCATCAGCATCACTCCAGCCCACACAATTATCAGCATCACTGCAGCCCACACAATCATCAGCATCGCTCCAGCCCACACAATCATCAGCATCGCTCCAGCCCATAAAATAATTATAATCAGCATCGCTGCAGTCCATACACTGTCCCTTACAGACGGAACATATGGAATCCACATTTTTCCTTTACTGCCTTCTGGCGAGCCAGGGTATAGCACCTCCTCGACAGGCATGTGAAGGTAATTTCACAATATCTGTATGTGCGGTGATCCACCAACCCCCCTCGCTGCTGTCTCTACAGTTCTGGACTAAGGCAGCCATATGCTGCAGCGTAGCTACGACCACCACCACCCGGCTAAACTACCATTTGCTTTCGGCATTGTTTATATATACGAGGTAAGGCCCACTGAGCTAAATAGCTCTTTTTCAGAAGCGATCTGGCCACAAATGATAGCTCAATGAAGCCGCTTATCGTCACGTGGAAATGTATTGCAGCCAAATCCCACTTCCACTAACGCAACAAGTTGTCGAAAGTCGGCGAGATGTGGCCCGACGGTTTGACGGAAAGGCCTTCATCCGGCAGTGGATAGATCACGTCATCCCCCCCCTGGTCTCTCTGCGGGGCAGCATGAGGCGCTGGGGAAGGGGCGAGAGCGGCGGCGCGCCGAGCTGGACGCGAGCTTGCGGCGGATGCGCGAGCACTGCGCCGGCACGGACGCCCGGCACGACCGGGAGATGGCGGAGACGCGGGCACGCTACGAGCGCCTCGCCCTCGAGCTGCAGGAGGGTTACGCCCGCACGACGGCGCCGTGACCCCTGCCGCCGGCAAGACCGTCGCCGCGACCGTCGCCGCCAGAATCGGAATCTTGGTGTTTTTTGACTGGAGGAATCCGACAAGCTTACGAAGCTCTTTTTTTTTTCACAGACGACCAGTAAATGTCCGCCGTCGCCACGTGCAGCCCGTGTCGACTGGCGCGGCTCCTCCCATGCTCGTGGCTGTTGTCGTGGCCTTCAAATGGGTTTGGCAACAAGCACACGTGCGGCGACAAAGATCCCCCCCATATAGCCTTTACAGAGTGTTGGGGCAAGAGCTGTTTGCAAGCACTGAAGGTCCATGCAGATTCAGCTTTATTTCTCCACTGTTGAGTCCTTTGTTAAACTGAACAATACAGAGACACCAATATTGTTGGAAATGACTCCAGCACCGCAGAAATCCTGGGTTCGAATCCCGGCAGCTTTCGGTAGTTAAAACGGGTCCTCAAGTGTAGTAGTGAGTTGATGGGTCTCGGCCCTGTCACCTATGATGGCACAAAAAACCACCACATTAATTCTTAATTTGTATAAATTCAAACTCTGATTATGTAAGATATTGCTTTTTCACACCACTCATATGCAAAGAGATTTGTAAAGCGCTGCCCTCTACCGTGTGTGTGGTTGTCAGGTTTTTCCAGGACACGACTAAACCCATCGATTCGTCGTGTGGGGTGATTGGATTGGTCGTCACATGCCTCATGTACATGTATACTCTAGGTATTGTATCGCTCTTTCATGATACGTGGTCCATCACTAGGATCGCCAGTACCAGCCAGCACTACTATGCATCTGCTATGAAGGGCTTGGGGAATAGGGTAATGCCCCAGTTCAAAGACACTGAGCTGTAGTCCATGAGGGCCAAAACCAAATATTCCACTTGTAGGTGCCACGAGATGTGGCATAACTTGAGCGGTTCCAATTTATTTACTTGGCCAATGATGGTGAATTGTGATTTGAAATGAATGGGTTATCAAATCGTTCCTCTTATAGGCTACTCTTTATTTTGCGACTGTGGGTGATACCAATGTCTGCTCTGGCCCGTGGACTGCTAGGACTATTAAGATCTTGGGTTCAGGTCCGGGTTTCAGCCAGCTGTGGTTAAACTAGGTTCTCGTTTTCAGAGAATTGATGGTTGTGGTCCGATCACCAGTGACAACACAAAAAATGCATGCTTTGTGTATTTCATTGAGCCTAGCCCAGATACAAAATAAGCAGTATGTTTTTGCGTTAGTGTTGTTGATCTCTTTGTGTATGCGGATTGTCCAGCGTGTTCAGAAAATAATATTCAGGAACTGAAATTCAGTTCCCTGAAGCTCCCAACACGTGGGGCGAAATGTCGGGCATCGTGCCGAGCAGCACGTGGTCCAGCCCAAAAAGCATTTGAGAGCTAAACATCCCATTGGCGTGCCGACAGGAGCTTGACATTTTTTTTATCGTACCGTTCGTGCAAATTCCATCTCAAAATGCCATAGAATTTGTAACTCGCAGAACTACAAACGAGCGGAAAGGCAGCCACAACCGGCGCCAACAATTGCCCAAGCTCTGTCGTCATATATTGAAATGTTTGGCCAACTTTTACGGCCTCGGAGCAATTCGCCACACATTGCTTTTGGAAGCAAGTTTCCCTGTTGCATTCAGATGTTCAGACACTTGCCCAGAAGCTATTTATGATGTATGTTATAAACAGCTAAGGTTGATCTAACTTTCAATACAAGTCTCGTGGTTGAATTTGTATGCTCAAAAACTCATGTGCTTAAAATGTGTGGTTTAAGAATTCCTAATTCACATTACGTATAGAAATGTAATTACAAAATGTCATGCTTAGGTTTAAGTTTCTGGAGAAATGGACATGAATTGCACATGTGCCTGTTTTCCATTGCCCTTGTCACATTTTATTTAACAAATACATGCTTTTGATTTAAAGCTTTCGTGACTGCAGTGATTCATATTCTTGGTTCTTTCGGTGAAGTCACGTTGAAGGGAAACAATAGAATAATAACGACTGCTTGTGTTGCAGTCGAAACGTCGTGAGAATTTATTATTTTATTGTTTCCCTTCAACGTGACTTTACCGAAAGAACCAAGAATACAAATACATAATGCGTTTTCAGCCACTTGTCAAGCCTCTGCTGGTTGAAGGCATCCCCACACGGCATCTGCAATGGAGGTAGTTTAACCAGTCAAGCATGTTGGCTAGTGTGGGGGGGGGGTGAAGAGTGAGGAATGGGACCAGTTCAAATATGCAAATACAAATATTTTGTTTTAGATATCGGGATGAAGGCACATTGAGGCGGCAAACTCAAGCGCTACCTCCGAGGGATGGACGGGAGTGAAGGGGAACCTGAATGGCACAACAGAACATCTCAATTACTTCCCACTCATGAGATCCCTGGGCAGGAATCGAAATCAGGCGGGTGGGGGTTTATAGTGCGGTGTGCTTCAACACAGACTTGACCACCAAACTTGTTTTATAAAATGGATACATTCATCAGATCAACTGTTTTTATTTTGAAAGTGCGGACTCGCGGCAACCTATGTGAGCATACACAGACATCTGTAAAATAATGTGCATTTGCAAGGTGGATCAATGCATCTCAAGTCACCGTACAAATGGTTGCTTGGGAGTTGGCAGACAATACGAATTTTCATCAAGATTAGCACGGTTGGCTATGTACGGTGCAAAATAAGTTCTACATTATATCGAAGGTGGTTTTAAAAGTTTTAACAGTGAATGCAAGAATGTATGTATAGGCTTCAAAATGCTGTCGTTTCATTTTATTTTACCAGTAAAGCCTGGCCGAGTTTCCACTTTTAGGTCCAGCTATTTTAATTTCAAGGAGTGTTTGGCTTCAGGGTCCCGTTGTGTCATGGTCAGCGCACTGGACTTGCAATCCAGGGCCACCGGTTCAATTCCATTTCCTGGCACAGCAGTTTAAAACCATGGGGCAAGTTTAGTAAATCCGCCCCGCTGCATTCGGTCCACCCAGTAAAATAAATACGTTCACCACAGTCGATGGGCAGGCTGGGTGTGGTGTTGTAAAGTGTGTTTAGTCCCGAGACATCTGTCCAGTGTGTATGAGTATTCCAAGATACCCCACTAGAGTAGAGGGGGGGGTTCTGAAGCTGCTTCTAGTGAAGGCCCATCCTGCCAACGATGGCGTGAGCAGCAGTTGCAGGGCCTGCACCTTTACATTTTCGCTACAAGTTCAAGGAGGACCAGGAGAAACCCCATCAGGCACGAGGGGAGGTTTACGCAAGAGTCCACTCGGGGTTTACAAACCCACTTGGGGGTATCGTCGTCTCGTGGTGGCGTCAGCCCCGCGGGTTTGGAACTTCCACAGATAACCGACGTGATTCATCGACCCTTGCTTTCAAAGCGCTGCATCACAGGGATGCAAGTCACATCGATGTCGACCCCCTTATCGGTAACTACCTTATTACAGACCAATTCAGACCTTTTTGGTCGCCCCGTGCCCCATATATATCTCAACGTTTATCCTACAAAGTCCCATCACAAGAGAGAGACAAATAGACGAACCATTTGTGCCCGTATTGAAACGGCTGTACGCCGTATGGACCTTGAAAAAACTCCATTTCCCAGTAAAAGAATACGGGTAAATCGTATGGGTCGACAGGTATGCCATCACCACCGCGCGTGTATTAATTTGCGAGCTGAATGTTGCAGGTTAATGTATATTTCAACTTTGCAATGTTTAAAAAAAGGACAACCTATGATGAAACATGTTATCTCTGGCGCTTTACTGTAAGCGCATTTGAACAATTTTAAACTTGTAACGAACGAGGAGTAACCACAGCCATGCGGGACAGGCCGCGGCCACGTGGTGAGCGGGCGAGAAAATGTTTCCCTCCAAACCTTTGCGGTAAGTTCACATATCAAGGTGTTTGTTTAATTCGCGAGTTTATATGCTGGGAGAAAAGCCCAGGCTTGCGAAGGGGGCCCAATTTTTTTCCCCCATGCAGATTGGGACGGGTCGAGTATTCGGGAGGGGGTAGGGGAGGAGGTGCAATCTCGCACGTCTCTCCCGTGATCCACCAACCCATGCTTCCATGCGGTGGTCAAAATCCCAGGCGCGCGCCACCGAACGTGCGTGGGCCAAATTAAAATCAATTAGGATCGTTGACTCTTCCATATTAAGGCTCTATCGCTATCACGTGTCGTCGTTTTACACGGCTGATAATTTATTAGCAACGAGAACCGCCCGCGAAATTGCACGTCGTATAACTTTTAAGAGCGATTCGCAAGCGATGTGGATTTATTGCTATTCGTTTTGCCACATTTCACGGCGTTTTATATTTTACTAGATTAGCGATAGCATTGTACGCGGCGTGGTCTTTGCAAGGTGGTAACAATGCCCCGTATAACAGGTTTCAAATGAACGTTGCTTATTCCAGGTCGACATTTCTACATACAAATTAACACTTACATGGGTCTATTTTTAATGTAAAATTTATGGATAATACAATGAAGGTTAATATCTTGAAGTCTGCTTGTTCGCCATCATTGTCAACACAGGCGTGGAATCTTCTCCAGAGCCCGCAGCCATATTCTTGTGGTATTGTTGCAAATTCCCAGAAGTCTTAACATTTATTTTGAAGCACGCCGTATATATATTAAAAAAGACAACTTGTAATCCACCGCAGCACGCACGGTTTTCAAACATTTAGCGGTGGTTTTTTGTCGATTCGTTTTAGAGACTTGCCACTTTTGTGTTGGACGACGTTCCACGACGTCCAAGAGGGGACCCAACACGTGCCCACGGGGAGTTGGGGGGGGAGAGGGCCTCCAAATGCGGCCTCGTACAGAGGCCGAACCGGTAGCCCCGAAGTGCGCTTCACGGAACGCGCGACGGTGGAAATCAAGACGATGTACACCGGAGGAATTCCGACGATATGCGAAGCTCTTAATAAAAAAAATTACCGTTTAACAATTATTTTATAAAACATGTAAGAGGCGGCCAGAAGTGCAATCCCCACCAATCAGGGGGAAGCCCAGCGGAGACCCGAACCCTCTCGTTACTCTCGCATCGTGGGCCCCCCCACGGCTCGGCTCGCGAGGCGGCGGAGGCGAACTCCTCCCGGCGGCGAGGGCACGAAGGCCGGGACCGCCGGGGCCAGGCGAGGCCGTGGGAAGCGAGCCGACGAGGTTGGCGGGGGGGGGTAACACGATTGCGGAGGCCTAACTCCCCGATTGGTGGGAGCCGAGGTTTGTCAAGTTTTAAACCAACGCCCGTGGAACGCCTCTCTCGTTTTGCTGGACCTCGGCCAAAACTCAGCAAACAATTGAGAGAGGCCAAAGGAAACAATTAGGGTTAGAACGAGCAAGAGCTCGCGGGCCAACGGGGAGCGGCGCGATCAGCGGGCAGCACACGGCGCCTTATATAGGCGGGAGGGGATGGGGCGTACCCTGGAACGTGAATATACCACGCACACCACGCCCTCAAGATCGGAGCATACGCCCCGGGACATGGATATGCTACGCCACATAAAGGCGATATGCGCCCCGGAACGTGGATATACTACGCCCTATAATAAAGGGGATATGCGCCCCGGAACTTGAATGTACTACGCCATGTTGCGGCTGTATGCGCCCCGGAACGTGGATATACTACGCCCTGTCGGCGAGACGCGCGCCCTGGAACGTGGAAAAAAGTAACCATGCCTCATTAATCACGTTTTTGGCACATGACTCCTTGTTTATTTTATTTTACAGTGCAGCATATTGTCCACAGTCGACCACAACACCCTTAGTCAACTAAGTTGCCTCCGTTTCTCCAAACACGCAGTCGAATGGTTAAAAAAGTACTTCTCTTCTCGCACCCAAACTGTATTCATAGATGGTTGGAGGTCAGTGTTAAGATAACAAAAGGGGTTCCACAGGGTTCCATCCTCGGCCCCCTCTTCTTCTCTCATTATACCAATGACTTGGAAACTGACCTGGATCATTCCAGGGTAAATCTATTTGCAGATGACACCATACTGATTACTGCTGGCCGCTCTCCGGATGACGTGATTGCTAAGTTCCAGGGTGATTTCAATAAACTACAACATCAGCTAGTTGCTCTTAAACTATTCCTGAATACCTCCAAAACCAAGGTGCAATGCTTCTCATCAGGACTAAAGCAGGAAGTATTTTTTTCCACAATTACATTCCTTAAAAAAATATCAAATAGAGCAAGTCAATATAAGTATATTGGGGTCATCTTTGATTCAAAACTGCATTTTCAAGATCGCATTGATTATATTGGTAAAAAGACAAAATAAAAAATAGTTTTTCTGTATTGAGACAAGCACTGCTTCCCCAAAATCTTCCGTTTGGAATTGATAAAAGCTACCATACTTCCTCTACTTTATTACTCTGACATCGTATATAAATCAGCCCCCAGTACTGTACTGAAGAAGCTTGACTCAATTTATCACTCGGCCTTAAGATTTGCATTGAACTGCCCATATAGGGCCCACCATTGCGATCTCTACATTGGGTCAAACTTAACATCTCTTAATGATCGACGGCTTGTGCATCAGATCTTATTTATTCATGATGTACTTAAAAAAAAATCAGCAGACTACCTGCTGGATCTTCTCACTGTTTCGAAGAACAAATTTGACCTAAGGTCCATGCTCATTTACCAGCTTCACATTCCTTATTTACGTACAAATAAATACTGGAGGAAGGGCCTTTGCTGTTGATGCCCCCAGGGTCTGGAATGCTATCGCCAATAAACTGCAACTTGGATCACTACCTGTAAGATTTTCACTCAAAACTGCTCTTGAGGAGCTGTACACCCCTAGCTGCCACTGCTATGCAGAGTAGCCTGAAATCAAATGCATCGCTCCGGATGACCGCTGCAATGTATGATTATAGTGTGCTGATCTTTAAAGGTGCATTGACATTTTTTTAATATT